TAAGGGACAGAAGAAGTTCCAGGCTTTACAGTCACTGAACTTGGGCCACCTGATGGGACTGCGCGCCCACACGTGACAGCCTGAGGCCAGAGAGACTGCTCGACCAGGCTGTGGGGCACAGGACAGGAGCCCACGGTGAAGAAGGAGGGGGAGAAGGCTTGTGATTTTCTTTATATAAAACCCAAGATAGGTAATCCATAGAGACAGTTGGCCAGATTAATAATGCTAAAGAAAAAAATTTTTAAATAATGAGTTGGGGTTCTAGCAAGGGGACTTGAGGGGTAGTGGGCAGCTCATCATTGGTACAAGAATTTTTTTTTTTAATAGGGCATTTCCTCAATTCTTCATGATTCCTCAAAGCACGCTGAGACACTGCATGTGCTCAGCATTCCCTGCCACTTCCATTTTCCTCCACATCCTGAAGGGCCAAGCGGCCAGGAAAGCCCCTCTCCTCACTGCATGGGCAGAGGGCCTGGAGCTGGGGTCCTCAAACTACGGCCCGTGGGCCACATGAGGCCCACCGAGGACATTTATTTGCCCCACCGGGTGTTTTTGCCCTGTTTTTTTTACTTCAAAATAAGATGTGCAGTGTGCATAGGAATTTGTTCATAGTTTGTTTGTTTTTTAACTATAGTCCAGCCCTCCAACGCACCTGAGGGACAGTGAACTGGCCCCCTGTTTAAAAAGTTGGGGACCCCTGGCCTAGAGCATCAGGAAGAAGGTTCGTGAACAGCTGCGGCACTCTGGAGTGAGCACTTTCCTTTAAAGGGGGAGAAACAGGCCGCTCACTGTAGAGGAAGAAGATCCAACCGCTCAATGACTCTCTGGAAAGCCAGTTTCCACAGACGGCCCTCTGATGACAGGCCGTTCTCTTAGCACCAGAGATGCTGAAAGAAAAGGAACATCAGCTGGAATGAAACTAGCGAACACCGAGGGCACCTTTATTTGAGTTACTTGCACATCAGAATCAGACAAGACTCCCCAGGAAGGAGCAGTGAACTTTATAAACCCATTGAGCAGATCATGAAAGTAAAACCAAGAGAAAGAAAGTAACACATTTAAGTTACACAGTCCATCGGTCTTAGGTTGGCTCACCTGGCTTCTTGTCACCATGCCTGGAAGAGAGTTACATCTGACCCAGACGGGTCACTACAGCACGCACCAAGGACCACCCTTTGTTGGCTGTTCCTGGCCATTCAGTTGATGGTGACGAGGAGGAGGAGGAGGCGAACTAGGCTCTGTTCTTTGTGCTGCCGGTGAATTCACCCTTCCGATCCTCACAGCTCTCGCTAAGGGACCTACTGTTTCCATTCCCTTGTTGCCTCCATGTGACACCGAAGAGAGGTGAGGTTAGGTAGCCCGTGCAAGGTCACTACCTTGGAAGGGAAGAGCAAGAGTGTGAACTCCGGTAGCTCCGTCTCTACAGTGCAGCCTCTGAGTGCAATCAAGATAAGAAAGGAGCAGCTGTTCCCCGCCCCCACACACTCCAAGTGTGAGACTGTGAGCAGGGGCCCACAGACTAACATACGCCTTTCATCTCCTGAATGAACCTGGCACAAGGAAAGGACGCAGAGGAAGGCAAAAAGTCCAGGCCCCGAATAACCTCTAACTTGGGTGACCTGCCTCCAAGGAATCCAAGTGGCGGATCAAAACCTCTGTGTCTGTCACACACAAGTGCCAGAATCCAGGACTGGACCTGAAGTTGTTCCCCTGAGGGGACTCCTGTTCTGGGGTCCCTGAGGCCCAATAACAGGTACTGTTAGGAGGCTGGTGCCCTAATCACCTGGCACGTACGTCCAAAGGGCTACCGGTCCGGCCAGGACAGGCCTCCAATAGACAGATTCCCAATATTATCTTCCAGTTGCTAGACAACACTGCGTTCCAGCACATTATTCGGGGTATGAAAACTGAAACGTAAGTAAAGCATGTTAACACACATCATTTCAACCGCAACAAGGCAATTGTTAAATTGGCTCCTGATTAAATTGGCAAGAAACAGTCATGAACTCACTCCGATCGACATCCTTAGCGTTTCTCCGGCCAAATCCCATTGGCAGCTTCATAATGATGGAAACATCCATGCTATTTCCACTCAACGAGGGCTAGGCCTGCTGGTATCTGATTCAGTGTTTACTTCGGGAATGAGGTCAGTTCCCAGCCCAACTGGGAGTTTTGCAAAGCAGTCCGAGCTGATGGTCAGCAGACATGGTTCCCACCAGAATCTGACCAGAGTCCTCAGGACTTCCAGGACGTCCTTCTCACAGGTTAGCCCGGGTTCACCCAAGTTAACCACGCTCTCTGGCGTCTTCTGGGGCCTGGTTCTCCTCACAGCTCCGATCTGCTTCCCTGGAGAAGCCAAGCGAGCTTGGCCATGGCCACAGCCTGATGGACCAAGCTTCTCACGGCCCAGAAGTTTCCTCCTTCAGCTTGCCCCCGTGGTATTGCAACATCTCACTCCTGGATCTGGCCACGGCGAGCCCCAGAACTGCCAGGAAACAGGGCCGGGTGTTGTTGCGCCTCGGTGATCCATTCCAGCGTGGCTCCACTTGTGATAGGCGAACGGCTCGGGGACTGGCTGCCACTCCCGAAGGTAATGGCGCCCCACGGGCACAGGCCACAGCCTCCTCTTGGCCGGCTCTCCATGCTGATAACACCAAAAGGGAAAACGCGCAAAGGCTCAAAACACTCAGTTTTAAAACATCTTTATGGAGTGACATGCACTGGCTTCAAGGAAGCTGGCGGGAAAACGGCTCAGTGCAGAAAGAAAGGTTGTGCCCACAGCCCCGGGGAGGCCTTTAGAAGGAGTTGCAGGCGCCTTTGATGCGACTGACCTGAGACTTGGCGGTGGGACAGCCGCAATAATAAAGCCTGTGGTCCAAGCTGATGCAGTGTTCTATAGCATCAGCGGCAGCAGGTTCTTTATCTCCTCTCAGCTAGCTAAGGGAGTAGGAAGCTAAGAGATAATGCTCTGGTTTAGATCCCAAAATAAATGGCCATTCTACGCTTTTACCTAACAAACAGAAAAGTGGGGGTGGGGGTGAGGGAGTGACCAAAAGAGAGGCAGATGGAGCCCTTTGGAAGAGGAGATGGCTTTGGAACTAGTGGCCAAGGCAGACTCTCTTTCCCACTGTGGACAGGTCAAGAGGGCGATGGCTAAGCCTGCCTTCTGGTCTCCTTATAGGAAACCAGGGGTTGTCCACATGGACACAGGAAGAGAACAACATGTTAGATCTAGCAAGGAGGTTGTCTTGCTACAGGGTGCATAAGAAAATGTGGTGGAAAAAGCTGATAGTGCCCCGCTATAAAAA